TACACAGCTTGAACCTAATGCTAACTGAGAGAAAGGGAATAATGCCTTGGCGGCAGCCTGGAACCAACTGAAGGCCTACCCTCCCAACACCCCACAAAACGCCAGCCTATATCAAGGCAACATGGCAGCAGCAGAAGGGAAAGGCCCATCGAAGGCAGACTCCAGCAACTCAGACTACCTCCTGGGCCTACTCAGCATCTAGACAGGGGCCCGACAGAAACGATGAAAAGGCAGAAGGAAACTGCCAGTACGTAGTCCAGACTGAGATCTAGATTCAGCCTTGAATGGACTTGAGCTATGACTCTACGCTCCTCCACCTGGACTCAACATCCCGAGACCCTGATAATGGAGAATGCCATCTACAGAGGCTGTATCAATCAGGACCAAGATTCCTCAAGGTTATTTGATGATATCAAGGGACTCATAATTTTTAAGTGTGTAATGAGATTATAGTTTTATTTTTTAAAGTTCGTATCTTTTAGAGACACAAACTGAAATATTCACAAGTAAAATGAAATGATCCACCTTTAAAATACTTTGAGGGCCGGAAAGGACGGGGGATATAGGGGAAATGAGAATGTCCATGAGTTGATCACTATGGAGGTTGGGGACATGGAGATTCATTACACTATTTTCTCTCTTTTTCTAGGTTAGAAATTCTTCGTGATAAAAAAAATATGTCTGAGAGTGGTCCCAGGAAAATCACGTTCCACCAAGGAGTGTCCACTGGAAGGGGGAGTGGAGGACAGAGGCAAGTACAAACGAGTCGTGGGCTTCCCTCCTTTTGGGGGCACTGTCGAAGAAGCTGCTAACATCACACTATGCAATCATTCACATCCAGCTTGGCTGCCTCGACCCACACAGAATCGTAATAAAAGGTGTGAGCTAACCCCCCTCCATCTCTTCTTTATTGTTCATCACCAAAAGGCTCAGTGGAAGCTTTGTAAATACTTCTACTCCCTCATTTACACACATAGGGAACAGGTCACTGAGGGCCACTCATTCCAAACACTGTTGTAAATTACACTCAAATAGCTTTGGGCTCCAAAGTGTCAGAGATGTTTCTTCAGAGACAAAGCGTTGGCACAAAAAGTCTCAAACGTACTGCCCTGAAACTAGATCGGTGCTTCCCTTCTCTGCTGATTGGAGGGTGAGGGGTCTACCATTCCGACAAGCTGATAGAGTGCAGGGCGCTGAAAAAATATGGTGACAATTTTAATGGTCAAAAGTAGGTCCATGAGTAAGACAATAATGGTATGCTGTACATGGGAACACGTCACAGCTATTTAAATGATGTTCGTGAAGGGGGCACCTGGGTGGCTCAGTCGGTTAAGCGTCGGACTCCTGATTTCAGCTCAGGTTGTGATCTCAGGGTGGTGAGATCGAGCCCCGAGTTGGGCTCCACACTGGGCGTGGAGCCTGCTTAAGATTCTCTGTCTCCCCCTGCCCCTCCAGGCCTCACATGTGTGTGTTGGGGCGCCTCAGTGGTTCAGTCGTTAAGTGTATGCCTTCGGCTCAGGTCATGATCTCAGGGTCCTGGGATCAAGCCCTGCATTCTCCCTCTCCCACTCCCCCTGCTGTGTTCCCTCTCTCACTGTCTCTCACTGTCTGTCAAATAAATAAATAAAATCTTTTAAAAAATAAAATTAAATTAAATTTTAAAAAGTATGGATAGCTGGCACCTTGCTCTTTTCCCTCTTCCTCCTCTCTCTCTCTCTCTCAAAAGAGAAAAAAAAAGATGTGCATGAACAATTTATAATACCATGGGAAGTGCTTATGTTACTATGTTAAATGAAAAAATAAGGACACAAAATTGTTTATTTTATATAATCACCATGATGTAAAATACACGGCTACATGGAGACAAAAGGAAACACCCTCTGTCTTAATCGTGATTAAACCAGGGTGGTGGCATTAGGAATGATTCCGATCCGCATATTTTTCCTTAGGGTAGAGGCATACACAGGAGACCCTCTAAATTAGTAGAATGTGGAGGGGTCTTTAAAGCATAGGTTTTCAGCCAGGAACTCTTAACTGGGTACCATGGATAGAATTCAGGGCAGCTATAAACTTGGCTGGGAAAAAAAATACGTCTTTCTTTTCACTAACCTCTAACTGAAAATTGTTTTCCTTTTGGATTTTTTTTTTTTTTGTAGTACAATGTACATAATAGAATTTACCAGTTACCATTAAGTACATTGACACTGGTGAACAACAGTCACCACCAGCCATCTCCAGGCTGAAATTTAATACTTTAGTCATGAATACAGTCAAAGAAGCAGAGTAAATTTCCAGTATCTGTGACTCTGTCACCACTAGAAATCAAAGCTGTTTTCATATCACATGACAGTTGTTGCAAGTACACTGAACTACTTTTTCAAAGATTTATTTATTTGTTGGGGGGGAGGAGCAGGGGAGAGGGAGAGAGAGAATCCTCGAGCAGACTCCGCACTGAGTGCGGAGACCAACGCAGGGCTCGATCTCAGGACCCTGAGATCACAACCTGAGCCGAAATCAAGAGTTGGATGCTTACCAGACTGGGCCACCCAGGCGCCCCGGTATACAGAACTATTCTTGTTCATGCTCCTCACAGCTTTGAAATTAGATAGTTATATGACCTGCCACCAAGTCTTGTTATTTAATGCAAAATTACTAGGTTACAAATTCCTTTTGTAATACTGCGTTCACCATATTTCGATATGTTTTCCTTTGTAATCCTATGTGTTTTATTTCCTGCATTTAAAAAATATTATTCTGGGGTGCCTGGGTGGCTCAGTCAGTTAAGCACCTGCCTTCAGCTCAGGTCATGATCTCATGTCCCTCTCCCTCTGCCGCTCCCCGTTAGTGCTCTCTCACTCTCCCTCTCTGTCAAATAAATAAATAAAATCTTTAAAAAAAAAACAAAAAATATTATTCTGAGAAGAAACGTGTTGTTTTCATCAGACCGCCAAAGAGGTTCACGAGACAAAAAAAAATTAAGAAACCTTCAGCAGATGTGTTCTGGCAGATGGAGTAATTAAAGATTTAGCTACCCTCGACATACAATAATGGCTTTACTGATGCGTGTCCAAATTCTTTGTAATTTTTCTGTGGTGATGTGGCCTAGTACAATATGATACCACATCCATCTGTATCTCCCCAACATCCACTGTGCATTTAGCCCTTAGAATAATCCTGTCTGTGTGTATCCCTTTGGAAAACAATGTCTGAGGGACCCCAAAAGACATTCACAGATGAAAAGGAAGCTAATGGCAGAAAGAGTATGAAAATATCAGAGCAGATTTTAAGAAGAGGAACAAACTGACCTCATTTTTAAAAAAGAATCCATTTCCCTAATATACTTCTTCTTTTATTCAAAAATATTTGGGGGGGGGAAGATGCTCAACACCACCAATCATCAGGGAAATGCAAATCCAAACCACACTGAGAGATCACCTCACACCTGTCAGAATGGCTAGCGTCAAAAAGACAAGAAATAACAAGTATAGGGAAGGGTGTGGAGAAAAGGGAACCCTTGTGCACTGTCCGTAGGAATGTAAATTGGTGCAGCCACTATGGAAAACAGTAGGAGGTCCCCGAAAAATATGATCCAGCGATCCCACTTCTGGGTGTTCACCCAAAGAAAACGAAAACACAGACTTGAAAAGTGATCTGTACCCCCACGTTCATTGCAACATTATTCACAATAGCCAAGACACGGAAACCACCTAAACGCCCACTGAATGGAAAAAGAAAACGTAATATATATGTGTGTGTATACACACACACACACACACAAAATGAGATATTACTCAGCCATAAAAAAATGAGATCTTGTCATGTGCAACAACGTGGGTAGATCTTGAGGGCATTATGCTAAGTGAAATAGAGAAAGCCAAATACCGTATGAGCTCACTTACGTGTGGAATCAAAAAATAAATAAATGAACGAAGCTCACAGACACAGAGAACAGCTTAATGGTTGTTGCCAGAGGCGAGGGGTGGGGGGTGGGTGAAAAACATCAAGGTGTTCAAAAAGTACAAACTTTCAGTTATAAGATAAATAAGTTATAAGATCAATAAGCCCTGGGGATGTCATGTGCAGCATGGTGACTGTAATTAACATTGTTTTGCATATTTAGAAGTTGCTAAGAGAGTAAATCTTAAAAGTTCTCATCACAAGAAAAAAAGTTGTCTATGTATGGTGACAGATGTTAACTAGATTGATTGTGGTGACTGTTTCCCAATATATGCAAATACCAAATCGCTATGTTGTCCACCCGAAACTAAGACAATGTCATATGTCAGTCATACTTCAATCAAAAAATCTTTTTGGAATCGGGGATGGCGATGAGCACTGTATTCCCTGGGCTATAACCACCATTTGATACCTTTCTGTGCAAATAAGATGTTCTTTTCTGCAAGTCCCACGTCCTCTGTAATTTTCAAATAAAACTGCTCTCATGCTGAGAGAGCTCTACCTAACCTAAAATCACTTCCTATGAGAGAAGACTTCATGCACCCCCGTCCCCACAGGAGGTCCACAAAGTCGGGTCTCAGTGGTTTTTCCATGAACCCAAATCCCTGGCGAGGCTGACTGGCCAAGGGGGAGGCGGGTATGTGACCCTGGGAATTTGGAACTGGAACCTAAAGTTACTCCCTGATGCTTTGAACCGCGGGCGAGTCAACTTGGGGCTATAAGGTGGGCGTGTTTGGAGATGTGCATGCTCAGGCTGGTAGATCAACCCAGGATAGGACAAGGGAATGTGGAGAGGGGCGAAGATGCTTCAGCTGCACCTCCTGCGCCGGACCTCTGTACCCATGTTAGCGAAACCCCCTTCGGGCTAGGACTGGTCCAGTGGGGACCCTAACTGCTGAGTTTAGAGTTGGCCCCTACGGCACCCCCACAAGGCAGCTCATGATTTTCCCGGGCCCTCTCTTCCCAAGTTAAGCCTCAGTGTGTCCCCCCCACCCCCCGGGCCTTTTGCAGGAAAGCACGAAACAGCCACCCAAGCAGCATACCTCGGGTCTGCCAATGCTTCTGCGGACCCTGGCTCCAACCCCTTCCGACTGCTCCCGGCTCAGCACTGACAGGGTAACCTTCTTGGAGGATGCCATGTCGAAGTCTAAAGAGAGTGTTCCGATGCTAAGCTGTAGAGGTTAGAGGGCCAAAAGAGGAGCAACGGAAAAGAAAAATCATAAGGCGGGCACATCCAAAGACTACGAAATAAAGGATATTAAATTCAGACCTGCCCGAAATATTAACAGCTACAATATATTGACTCCTTACTCTGTACAAGACCTGGATTAGGAAATTTTAAACAATAATGCTGGTGAATATGTACGAGTACTAATGTATCAGTACCACTAATTATTTGCAATCTCATATAATCCCACAGCCATCTTTTACAAGATTTAGCAATAACAGCTCTGCTGGGCACTTACCACTAATGAGCAATTTATCTGCTTTCCTTTTTTTTTAAGTAGGCTCCACGCCCATCATGGGGCTGGCACTCATGACCTCAAGGTCAAGAGTCGCATGCTCTACTAACTGGGCCAGGCGCCCCTTTATCTGCTTTATCTCATTGAAATTTCTCAACCTCCCCAACCCCACATTGCCCCCACAAGGTAGGTGCTACCATGAGGCTGAGATTTACGTGGTGACTAAGGGAACACGAAGGAAATCCATGAGGTCTGTGACTCTCACCAGAACATGTCAAAGATCTCGGCACTGAAAGGATCTTCGAGGGTCACCAAATTCAAAGATCCATCTATCCCTAAAGTTCAGGGCGAAGTTTAGTGGCAAGAAATCTGAGCTTTGTCAGGAAGTCTTCAAGAGCGCCGGAAACTGAAAAGGAGGTGCCCTTGACGATGCATCCTGTATTTGAGGACCAATCTATACCCCGCCTTTATTATTCAAAAGAGTTTTCTCTTTGTGGGCCTGAGTTCTACCGAATGGAGTATCCCAGAACAGACACAATCCACATCTTTTCCACTTCAAATGCTTGCAGACGGTACCACCAAATCTCTAAAACTCTTCAAGCGAAATAGAATCCATTCCTTCAAAGATTCCTACTCAAATCAAGAGAGATGCTTTAGCAAGAAGCATAGACCCTAGAGCCCGAGAGCCTGGGTTTGCAACCCGGCGTCACCGGGTACCAGCTGTGTGACCTGAGGCCACTTGCTAAGCCTCTCTGTTCCTCAGTTTTTCCATCTGTGAAATAGGGGTACTAAGGCTGCCTACCTCAACGAAGTGTAGTGAGCCTTCTAAGAACGTTAACTCCTGTTATTGAGAGCACTCTACTCCGCAAGTCCCGGCCCGTCCGTCAAAATGTGTCCTCCTGGGGGCAGGCCATCAATCAATACTTACTGGGTGCTGGACAGTGGGGCTCAGAAGTGAATTCAATCCTCAAAGCGGTACAGAACCGTCAGCACCTACCTACAACAACTAGGAAGGGTTTTCGCCCTCCATGCGCCACTTCTAGGTCCTTCCAGACTCCCGCCCGTAAATGCTGTGCACGCGGACAACTGACGAGGTGCTTACCAGATCGCAGTGCTTGGCAGACAGGAAAGCCGCCTACCACCTTCGCCCAGTGCCAGAGACCTACTGAAGCATCTCCCGTCCCCTCCCAGGAGCTTCCCCCGGGAGTCGACGGCGGGCTGGGGAAGGCGGGGTCCCGCGCCGTGAGCCCAGCACCCCCGCGGGCCTGCGGTCCTCACACGGCGGCGGC